TTCAGCTAAACGATACATCTGGGCAACTAGAACTTCCATAATTCAAAATTTGGCTTTTCAACTGTAATATACAACGAGCAATTTTTCACTCGTTCGCAGCCTACTGGCACTACTGACCCCACTCCCTTTTCTGAAAGGACTACCAGTTGAATAGCTTTTCCAGAAAGTTGACAAGAATTTGGTTGTTTCGAGAAGTTCACGGCGTGTGTACAGCATCATAACCTAGTCCTAATGCTGCCATCCCAACGATACAATGAAAAAAAAAAAAAACAGACAAAATTATATGCATTTTGTGTATATACAAAATTACATTTATTTTTTTGGCTTTTCACCAACCTGTGTCATTTCCTCCAGTTTTCTTTGATTGTCCTCTTCACGTTGCTTCATTTCGGCCTGTAACTGGGCAATTTCGGCTTCGAGCTTGGTCCGTATTTTCTCCTCATCTATGCTTTGCTGGTAGACCGTCGCGCGCAGTCGCTCTATCTCCCTGCAAGATTTCCAACACGAAACTGGCACAAAATTCAAGCACATACGGACTTTACGGTAAAAGTCATGCATGTGACTTTGATCTTACGACACGAATATAATTTCCAAAAAAAAACCTCACTGTAAAATAAGGGAAAATAACTTTACGTCCCCGTAAAAGAAGGGAAAGAAGGAAAAAAAGCAGCCTCACGCCCCACTTCTGATGCACGTAGCACAGAATTACGCGAAATATTGTATGCATTAATTTCTTGAAGTGAAAAACTTGAAGCCATACCAAAAAGAAGACAACCAATGATCAATGAATACGACCAATCAGTGATGCACAAAGCCAGAAAACAGAAAAACAAAACTAAACCCCCGATACAACTTACATGCCTCTATCTGACAATAGTGAAATATTGCTTTCCGAGCTATCCGCCTGGCTGCTTTCACAACCATCATCTTGCTCACGCGCTCCTTGACGAAGCTGGAAATCATTTTGTAGTAAAATCCACGCAAACAAACGTATATACATCAACACAGAATCAAATGTATCTCATTAAACAGTTTGGCAAGTTTCCGTGTCCCAGCCTCTCACGCATAATGAAATTAACACAATCCCCTTTTAGGCACAAGAAAAGAGGAAGCGGTGAAAATATTAGGTCTCACTGGCTCTCACATTCTTAACTCGAAAATGGGACATCTAGAAGGGGTTCGTCTCGAGTTCTATTAAGCTCTCGCATCTAAATCTAAATTTCTTCCACTAAATTTAAAGTTGGCAAAGGCGAGAACAAAAAAGCGATTCAACCAGACCCATATTAGAAAACCAACTGCGGCCAGGTAAACTAGACTGGTTTCAAAAATTTTTTTTTGGCTAAATAATAGATAAACGGCGAAAACAGCTGGATAAAATTTTAAAAATTCAAAAAATTAACACAAAACTGTAAGATAAATTAACACAAAACTATATAATAAATTTGCACCTCATTCAGCTCGGACTGGAGTTTATCTTTATCGAGGAGCAGCTTGTCTCGTTCCAATTTCACTGAACCAAATTCTGCCCTGTTCTCCTCGAGTTCCTTCTGACACTCCAGCAACTCATGTTCCATTTGCAACCGGCGTTTTACTTCTCTATCCAGTTCCTCGCACACTGCCAAATACTAAAGGAAAAGAGGCAAATGAGTTATCATCCTTTCCGTCTTAAATCACAATGTATTCAGCTACGCTGGATTCCCTACGACTGGCATGGCTCACTACTTCACGAGGTAAGCTTCAGCCTATGTACCGCCGCAAAACACT